GCTTGCCTAATATTTCCATCCTTTTGTGCCCTCAATATTGGTGAAGTTTATTAGAGTTTCTCATTATAATTGAGCAATGTAGAAATTAATGGCACTAATAAAAAACCAAGGTCTAGTACTTCAATAAAACTTTGAATCCATTTCATTTTTAAGATGGTATCAATATCACATATATGGCAAGAAAAGTACGAAATCCTGATAAAGGTTTGCATAATCCGATTGAATGTGCTATAATTCTAAAGCCAATCACACATAATCCTACTAGCAACAAAAAAAATAAGCCTTCGGGTTACAAGCATCCAAATGACTTGACTTCATCATTATTCCGCTATATGCTAACCATGATCAACTCTATATGGTTACATGAGACGACTCACTACACCCATTTCAAAGACCTTACCATAAGTGCCTGACTTCTTAGCTTGATCAATAATATTCAGACGCAATTACATACAGATCTCCCAAAACTTTTTATTTACAAATCAATCACCCTCTTCCATCCACTTTTCAAATTCTCAACATCCAAATGACTTGACTTCATCATTATTCCACTATATGCTAACCATGATCAACCCTATATGGTTACATGAGAAGGCTCACTACACCCATTTCAAAGAACTAACCATAAGTGCCTCACTTCTTAGCTTGACCAATAATATTCAGACACAATTACATACAGATCTCCCAAAACTTCATACTTACAAATCAATCACCCTCTTCCATCCACTTTTCAAATTCTCACTAAAATATCAAAATTCATAATAAAACCCAACCCATATTTTTTATTTTTATTAAATTCTCAATATTTTGATCATGACATGCATATACATTCTAGGTTAAAAAAAAATCACATAGATAATTAATTTATAAATAACAATATTTCAAATAATAACAATGTTTCAAATCATTTGCATTTAATTATCCAATTATGTCTCAAACTATGGAGCTCAATCCAAATTCGAAGGTAGAAAAAGGGCCTTATCTTTCCTTCCCTGTTCTTCACACGCTCCCGCGTCGCTATTTTCCTCCTGGCGTTAGCTATGCAGGCGATCCTAGCAGCGATGGCCGCGCATACTGTGCTTTCAGCTGTTCCGACTTGCGCCTTTCTCCATCCTCCTTCGCCACCTTCCTCTGCATCCCTACTCCTTTCTACCTTTCTTGTTGAGCAGCCCCTCCGGATCTCCTTATTCCAATTGTCAAGTCCAGCAGCCATGCCCAAGCCTCTCGCTGTCACCGAAGCGACCAAGAAGGCAGTCGCCATTCTCAAGGGCAGTTCTCAGGTCGAAGGCATTGTGACCCTCTCACAGGAAAATGACGGTCTGATTCCTTAACACTCATGATTAACTGTGCTTGCTCATCTCTCTCTTTCAAATGCATAATTTAAGAGAAAATTGCTGCATTTCTCCCTTGGTTTAATTTTGTACATGATTTTGTCTAAATTTGTCTGTGACATTTATAAAGTGATATATAATTGCACGAAATGCACTTGCTTGGGTGTTTGACTCGATTAGAGCAGAGAAGTTATCTTTGTAATTCCGTTAGTTATTTGGCTGTCTTTTCAAGCATTTTGAGGTGAATGAAATTCAATTATTTGGATGCAATAAAATTGTTGTGATCAAAATAATTGCTCACTAAATGTTGGTATTTCTTAGTTAAATGAAAAAAAATTACTTGAGTTTAGGAACCATGGCTTCTTAGGACTAAGCACATTGGATACTTATGTACTATAGATCTCTTCACAAGCAATATTCATACATTCATAGATTCACCCATCTGATTTGAGATATGTCCATCCGAGCCTTCATATTGTAGTCATGCCACAGTGCAATATGCAACATTGCAACATTTAGATTTGCTCCTCTGCTGATAATATATCTTTATCTCAATGATTTTCTTTTTGTTTTGTGAGCTACTATTATTTTCATTATTTAACACATTATAATAATGACGAGATTGTTTAGACTTTTTAAGGTTGTGGTGGAAGATTTACGGTTAGTGAAAGGTTAAAGAAGGTAGTGACTAGTCTTATGATTTTTGGGATATATTTTTGGCCAAATGTTCTAGGTTTTATTAGTTGAAAAAGGATGAAAACCTCTAGATTAAATACTTGGGTTGTTAGCTAACTATTGGTGGTGATTTTAGGTCAATTGGATGTGTGGGAAAAAAAAATATGAATTGCGTATGTGAATTGGTCGCAATAGGTGGATATCAGAGTTTTTGTGGAGGGTTGAATTGGATTAAGATTTTTGGAAAGTGGTGGGGCATAAAAGAATAAGGAGTAAGATAGTAAATTTTATGTTCACCTTCACAAATTAATCCAAAAATTTGTTGGACACAAGTTTGTGCAAGAGATTAAAGTTATTTTCAATAATCAGTGGAGGTAGAAAAAAATATATGAAGCTCTACAGAGATGGAAGAAAACACTTTCCTCCAAGATAATAGTGAAATGCTCATTTTGAAAATGTTGCTAATTGTTCCGATTATGTGAAATTTTCTAAATCTTAAATCATAATCATGAGTCCTTCATTACGAGTGGTTGAATTGCTTTCAAAATAAAGTTAACATTTAAATAATATCCATAGTTGCTGTGATAAATTATAATAGAACTAATTATAGGAATCAACTTATATCTCTTACAAGTGGGCTAGTTTGTCAATCCTAACATTTGACGAATCCTTGAAATGGGAAGATATCATATGCAATGAAATTTTGAATAGAGAACATATTAAGAGACAAAACTAGAAAATATGTATTAAGCCTAAGGGTCGCTCATCATATAATATCTGATTGATTCATAGCTAAGAAATTGAGTTTAAGTTTTATCATAATCGTTGTTATTATATTTCTTAGATGAAGATTTTTGAACAATAGTTTCAACAATGTAATATTATTTATATCAAATTATTATATCATATGTGAATGAATATTGTGTAATGAAGCACTAATGAAAATATAGTATCATATAATGAATGATAAGGCATGTCAATCAAAATTAAATTGCAATGAATGATGAATCATGTCAATCAAAATTAGTATAATTAAGAATAGACCATTTATGTCATCATACTACTTAAGATGCTAATTTTGGTAAGTTAAATCTGGTAATGGAGGTCAAAGAGGAAAAAAAGGATGGTGGTTTATCACAAGACCCTTTGATGTATGTGTCAAATAAGACATAATGAATATGTGAGATCATAATAGGCTTGTGTTTCTCAAAGAGCAATAATGTGCTAGATTTTTTTAGAGGTGAAATCGTATCAAGTTTGTCATTGAAGTTAGAAATTTCATGCTAAAATTCTAAGACTGCAGTGGATATGTGCATCTTTGAAGATAGTGTTATATCATCATTTTCAAATATAGAAGTCCTATCAAGAACGAGGTTAGAAAAATAATATATTGTTTAGGCCGATGATTTGAGACCACAGTAGGTATGTGTATTGTAAGCTTAATAAGATGCTCATCAATGAGCCCACTATGGAAGGGCATAAGTTGTCCACTCAAAGGTTTCAAGGCCATAATAGATATATGCCTCTCAATTGGAAGTGATGCAATAAAAGATTTCTTAGCATTGACACTAAAGTCAAATAGGGGCTTAAGCTCATTAGGGTATATATCTAACATAAATGGGATAATAATTGAGCTAATCTCATTTATTGGAAACCTATAGTTCTTATACGTTTAGGGAAAGTTTCTTGGTCATCTTTAAAAGCTTATCTTATTAATTTCTTAAGATTGTTGAATCTTTAATTTAAATAATTGAACCTATAAATAATTTTATGAGTTTAATCATAATCTTGAACTTTTTTGATCTACTTCTAGTAAAAATAAAAAAAAAATATATTCTCAAATATGTGGGGACCATCTTATGGTTATGGGTTTCAAGTTGTCTTGGATTGTATATAGATTTCAAACTTTCTTTTATCTTTAGCCATGTTAGAGTTTTTTTTCTCCCAAAAATTTGTTCTCTTTCACAAGTCATTTTAATTTATCTTGGCCTTTTTTATTAATTTTAAATTTGGAATGTCAGTTCTTTGAATGTTATTCATATTTTGTCGATTATAAAAAAAATTCAATTTCTTAGACCAATCTAAAATTTCTTGATTTTGTGAAAGTTGTCTAATGTAGAAGTTTCAAATTTATATTACTATAGGGGTATTTTACTAATATAAGGGTATACATGATTGTAAACACACAATATGTAGTGAAGTGCTTTTAAAAATATTAAAATGATAAAATCCCAAGATAAAAGAAAAAAATACTTTATGATATGTATAATCAATAATGCTTGACTGAAAGATCTTCACGTATGGAGCTTTCATAATATATCACTTAACTTTTGAGCTCTTTTTAGTTTAGATTTTTTCTTTCTTTTCACAAGGCTCTTTTAGCCTTACAAATGTAAAACTACTCGTGCATTTTTTTTTTCTTGAAAAAAAATCATTATACAAAAGAAAAAATATGACATTTATGTAATACTACAATAAAAAACACTTGAATTTTTTTTGGAGTTTTTAAGTAATTGCTATTTTTTTTAATTAAAGATAATTATGCCTAATACTAATTAATCAATAGAAAATATAAAAAAAATAATACTTCAACTTTATATATTAAAATAGATTTTTTTATGTTCATTGGATGCAACTCATCTGGTGGGATAAGTTCTAGTACAAAATTGATATGGTTTTTAAGTGTTGTTGAGAACTAAACATATTAATATCAGAATGGCTAACAAAGCATGCCAGTATCTTCGATTTATTTTAAACATAGATTTATAACGAAGTAAAAGAAAGTGATAACTAAGGAAAAATAACTAGGTAATTTGATTTCAAGTTGTATTGTTGATGACGTATAGTTTTTCCTCTTGAAGCAAAATAATTTGATGATGAAGAGCTTTGATGGAGAAATTTTGAGAGAAGTTTGTCTCCTGTAGTGATTTTGGTGCTTCTTAGATTGATTAATTTCTATCTCTCTCTATTTTTTTTATTATATATATTTTTTTTGGTTATTATGTGGTTTCAAGAGTTGTTAATTTGGTGGTTGAAGGCTTAGGGTTGGTGGAAGGCTAAGGAAGGTGATTAGTTTTTGGGTTTTGAGATAGATTTCTAGCCAAAATGTGCTTGCAATGTGTGGTCAAGTTCTCTTAAATGAAAAAGAAAAAGGACTTTCATATCAAAAGGCTTAGGATGCAAACTGTTTAATGGATGTGATCTATGTCAAAATGATACGTGATTAGGAAGTTATGAGTTAGTAAACTAGTCATAGATGGTGGATATAAGAAGTTAGGGTATTGTGAAAAAAATATGGCTCAATTTTTACGAGGATTGAAAGCTTTGGAAAGGTGATAGGGAAATAAGATACAAAGAAGCTATAGAAAAATAAATATATTAAGGCTTGCAATTCTTGAGTCACAAATCAAACTAGAAGCTGGAGGCATCAACTACTTGTAGACACAAGCTTTTGTTAGGAGATGAAATTACTTTTCATTGTACAAAATAAAAAGGAGGAAAACACAAAAAAGAAATACAAGAAAATTCTATTCATAAAACCCCTACAAACAATACTAATCAATCTCCCCAAAGAGCTTTATTCAGAAACTACTGCAAAACTCTCCAATCTTTAAAAATTCACTAAAGCTTTTATTGTAATTATGTACCCTCAATTTTGTGCTCGAGTAGCTCCAAAAAAAGAAAAGTTTTTAATTTAAATAATTTTTTCCTTGGTCTTCCCCTTTTTACATACTGTATAATTATACAAAATAACATAAAATTATAGATTATAATTTATTGAATTTTGATGTTGATCTTTGTATTTGATCTAGTGACAGATCTCTTTCCTTATCCTGCATGTATATTCACCTTTCTAACTTTGCTAGACTTCCTCAGTGAGAATGAAATATCCAATATTGCTGAATTATAGTTTTTGATGTATAGAAGTTGCTTATGAATGTCGAGAAATCACCTGCTTTCGATTATAGGTGAAAATAATGCAACTTTATGATCTTGTCTTCGAACTTAAAATTTTGTAGACTTCACCTATCTTGTGATTAAGTTGAACTCATGGTTAGCATATTGACTAAAGCTTCTTTATTCATTTTATGATTGAAAAATATGTGCATTATTTATACCTTCTTTATGGAAGAGTTTTTTTTTTTAGCATATCAACGAGCACCTCACGACTCTTATTACGTCATTTCATGGTTAGGGAAGAAAAATAATTTCGGTGCTTGCCTCTTTATCAATTTTAGCTCTTGATCGATTGATTATAACTTCGTGTTTTTTAGCAATTGATGAGGTCTTCATTCTACAGCTTTAGAATCC